GCGTATTATGGTTATGGTCGTAGTGGTCATAGCTTGCTAGCGAACAGGCTGAAATGCAGTGAACGCCTGCGTGTGCTCAGTACAATACGCATGCGAGCTCAGATACAGCTGTCAGCGAAAGTCAGACGGCCGTACGCGCAGCAGAAAGTAATAAGCAATCGTTGTAGCGCTCACTATGTCAGGGCTCAAATCAGGCTAATGCATGAAATGCCGAACGCAAGCAATGCAGAACGCCCTGAATAGCGGAAAGCCAGAGTAACCCAAAAAATCCGGATCGCGGGTAGACCAGCTAGTTCTAACATAAAGCAGAAGTCGCGTACGAGCTATGGCATTAATCCCCTTGCGATGTGCCGTGCGTGTGCCGTGCGCGTGCGCAGGGCAATGTGTGTATGTGTGATAGGGGGGGCCTACTAGAGTGGTATGGCGCGTGCGCGCACATGTGCTGTACTGTGTGTATAGGGTTGGTGGGCGAAATAGAGCGGGCGTGCGGTTGTGGCGTGCGCTTGTGCGGGCGTGCGTGCGTGCGGTTGCGTGCGTGCGTGCTCGTTGCGGATTACAGTCAGCACGAAGCTTTCTGCGAGGAGCACGGTGGCCATCACCGCGCTGACGGGGCGAGGCGCGTGATTACGTCAACTCTCTCTCTTTCCCTCTCTGCCTGTCTCTCCTGCGATCTCTCGTTCGCTCGCAGGTGCTTTCAGATGGCAATGCAGGTGACGGTGGCTCGAAACATGTTTAATGGGATCATACTATAATATGATGATAACGGGATTAGTTTAGGTTTTGTGAGGCCTGTATTTTTAGTTGCCTTATTCCTTCAGAATGCGATTTTCGTTGATATGGGTAGGTCAGAGCATAGTGTTAAAACAGGGAGAAGGAATGCATTCTGTGTATTGCTATTCTGCTAATTGTGAACCAGCCAGTCGTTTATAGGTGTTCTTTTAGGGGCGTTTTGATGTATGAGGTTTGTATCTCTTCCATTTCGCTCATTCCCTGTTCACGGGCTCTTTGAGATATGTTTCGTGTTCTTGTTTCGTCGATGAAACATAAAGAAGGCTATAAAATGTTTATCTGATCATAGCTAGCCAGTCGGAATTATTCGCATCGTAGGCTACCGCATGTAGTACGATTTAATGCTAATGCGGTTCAACTATGCATGGCGAAGGCTGTAGATCAACTGATATGTTTTACAGCGGGAGCGTTATTTCAACACCGAAAAACAACAACTTTACGAGCCGAGAATTTAGAGAAAGCTAATGTGTCGGAAAGCCGCGTTGGCGTCTCTGAGCGTTAATGCTTGGCGCTGCTAATTGAACGAGTATGCCGAAAATTTCGCCGAGCGCTGTTGTAAAGCCACACCGTTCTATGACTGTCGGGCTTGCTTTCAGCATGATCCCTACGCTGTCGGTATTATGTTAGCTTACAGTACGTTAAGCTTCTCTCTACCGCAGATATGGTGTAATTATTAATGGTATTAATTATGTATTTATATAGTATATATATATATATTATATTATAGATATATTATTATATTAGTGAATGTAGATATATATATCATTCCAATGTCGAGTTTACCTGATTGAAGAGATGTCTCGTGAAATCTCGTTAATTTAACACTTTATCTATCGATAAGATCTCTACTTTATTTTATATTTACTACTATATATTATTATACTTAAATATTATATATCTATATTATGATACTATTGTTGAGGCCGTGTTGCCTATCTTTTTGGTAACACATCACTTATTGTTAGTGGAGCGGCAATGGGTCATTTTATCTTACCTGGTCACGCGCGATTTACTGGTCCGTGCGTGTCTTGTCTTACCGGGTCACGGTGGTGCGATCTTATCTTACTTGCGTCACGGTGGTGTTCTTCTTACCTCGGTCACGGTGCGGGTCATCTGTATCTTACCTGGCACGGTGGCGTTCTGCTTAGTTACCTGGTCACGGTGCGTGTCATGTTATCGTTACCTGCTGTCACCGTGCGTGTATCTTATCTGCTGGGTCACGGTGCGTGTTCATCTTATTTACTGGTCACGGCGCGTGTCATCTTTCTTACTGGGTTACGGCGTGTCTTCTGTGCGTACCGGGTTACAGTGCGTGTCATCTTATCTTATGCGTACGGTGCGTGTATCTTATCTTACCTGGTCACGGTGCGGTGTGCATCTTTCTTACCTGGTCACGGGGCGTGTCATCTTATCTTACCTCGGGTACGGTGCGTGTCTCTTATCTTACTGGTCACGTTGGATCGTGTTTTATCTGACTGGTACGGTGGTGGTCCATCGTAGACTTGGTTCACGGTGGTTTTCTTATCTACCTGGTCACGGGGCGTGTCATTTTATCTTACCCCTGGTCACGGTGGCGTGTCTCTTATCGACCTGGTCCGGGGCGTGTCGATCGTATTTACCTGGTCACGGTCTGGCGTGCGTCTTTATCCTGACCTGGTTCGTGGTGTATCTTTTTCTTACTGGTAGCAGTGCGTTTATCTTATCTTACTGGTCACGGTGCGTTTCTCCTTAGTCTTAGCCTGGTCACGGTCGGGGTCATCTTATTTACTGGTCACGGCTGCGTGTATCTATATTTACCTGGTCACGCGGCGGTCCGTGCTTTTCACCCTGTCGTGTTTCGTGCGGGCGTCATCGCGTTATCCGAGGATGCATCGGATTTCGTCTATTTCTTCTATAATCGCCGTCGTCATCGTCATCGTCGCAGGCTCACCTGATAATCGCCATCGTCATCGTCGCAGGCTCACCTGATAATCGCCATCGTCATCGTCGCAGGCTCACCTGATAATCGCCATCGTCATCGTCGCCGCTCACTCGTCGTTGACATCGCAGAGCTGCGTTCGCCATGCGCGCGTCGGCCGCTTCTGTATATCCGTCTGCAAAATTACGGCGTTTTGCTGCAATTTTCGGACAAAACTGGAAATCGCTGGCGGGGGCAAGAGGGCGGTGGGAACACGTGTCATAAGTGTGTTATGCTAATAGCAGATCAACTCGTCTGTTTGTGATGAGGAGCATGCATGACCGCGATCGCTTCTCGTTTCCGCGGTTTTTTCTAACCGCGCCATTTTCATAAATTAACCGCCATTTCCCTAATTTCGCCGCCGCGTGTTTGTTTTTGCGCGCGACGGGGGACGGGCACCCTACTGGCGGACGTGATGACGTCATCAAACTGCCCATGCAGACCGTTTGGCCTTGAACATTTGCGGATTTTCTCCCGTGTGGTTTTCCTGCGCGAATTTACCGTTCCGTCATATAAGTTTCCGTCATTTTACACAAATGAAATGATGGCGTGATTCCGGAGGGTATATACGTAGAGGCTGCGGCTAGAATCTGCCTCGTTGTCACAATATAATGCCTATGCCTGCGCTTTGTTGGTGTGTCGTTTTCATTCGGATAGAACCGCCGAAGCGCCAGTAAACGTCAGATGAGGGTTTCTATCATTGAAATCCGTCTCGCGTTTCATGAATAAATGTCGGCAGCACACGAAAGCCTTATACACCTTGCGGACACAGACAAGCCAGTGGCTCGTTACTGTCGATACTGTGTGTCTGACATTCAATGACAATCTTTACCACTAGCTATCCTGTATGGACCACCAGCCATTGTTAATCATTATCACTAACGATCATGTATGGACCACCGACCATTATTAATCATTATCACTAACGATCATGTATGGACCACCAACCATTATTAAGCATTATCACTAACGATCATGTATGGACCACCAACCATTGTTAATCATTATCACTAACGATCATGTATGGACCACCAACCATTATTAAGCATTATCACTAACGATCATGTATGGACCACCAACCATTATTAAGTATTATCACTAACGATCATGTATGGACAGTGTCCAATAATAAGCATTGTCACTACCGATCGGCCAGTAGCCAACATTTAATAAGTTTTTTTTAAAGCCAGGCATTTGTAACAGGCAATCGATGCGAATAAAAAGACGAATAAAAAATCGAGTTGTTTTTATTGATCTCGTGTGAGAAGAACTCTCACACGCGCACTTAGCAGTATATGTCGCTCCTTGTCGTCATCAGTAAAAACCAATTCACGCGCTGCTGCTATGACAACGAATCTAAACATCGAATAATAGAAATCCTAGAATCTCAGTCACCTAGTTTCTCATCAAACTGCATGCAGTGCACCTTCGTACACCCAGGATACCACTGCCACAATGCTAGCACTATTTTTAAAGTGGGCGGAGCTCCGGGGAAATCCAGTGAATTGAGATTCGTAAACAGCGTATGATTTGAAAGTAGTAAATGGGCGCACAATGCGCGCACTATTTCGTATCACTATTTTATCAAATTTTTCATAAAATAATGGTTGGATTTTTAATATCTTTGCAAATTTTATTAGTCCAAATCTTATTACATAAGATACGAGTAACGTGCCTGCTGTAAAACTTGTAGTAAAAAAGCGTAAAACGGAAATCTGCTTGTGGCAGTGGTAACGTTAATGATTACCTCCCTTCGTCCTGCTCCTCCTCGACAGTGTAGCCGTGCGGAACATAACGACTGTTTTATACAGGTTAGTGGCAGTGGTAGATTGAGCCCATGATCGAGAGCGCCATCTGTCGTGGAGTTTGGTTTCTTACATGCGAGGCGATATCGTGGTGACTGATGCCCACGCCACCTCGCGGGAATACCTCCTACGCGATTGCGTGGCGACCGATGCGCCAACGGCGGCGGCAAGGAGCAACACGCCTGTAAGCCGACGACTGTGTAACTGTGTGCCGACGACTGTAAGCCGACGACTGTAAGCCGACGCTGCATGCTAGGGGGGTCTCGGGGCATGCCCCCTCTGAAAAATTTTGAATGGTAGACGTCTGCAGATGCAATCTGGTGAGTCTTGCGAGAGAGATTTAGGAACAAAATGTAGGAACAAAATTGTTTAACCCAAAATTTACTGGGGACTGTGCTTCCAGTGCTTCTATCTGCGGGCGCCACTGCCCCCTTCGCACACTCAGGATACGTAGTGAGCCCATGAGCGAGAGCGCCATCTGTCGTGGAGTTTGCCTCTTTACATCGAACGTACACCTGTGTAGCAGGTCGCATTGCGCAGGCGCATTGCGATCTGACCTTTATTGCTCATGCGCAGTGTAGAAGGGGGACGTGTTTGTATGGCGTATCTTCCGCATGCCGGTGAAATGGAGCGGGGGGCTATAGCCTGTGATTCCCTTAATTAAAGCAAGCATCTCGTGCTGTCGCCATTTGCTGCAATCTCCTAATGTGCACAATGAATAGGTCGTGAAACTGGGAAAATATAGAGGAAAGATCGGCTCGCGAAATCTGATTAGGTTCATGAGCATTAGTTCAAGCTTTAGTATAACAACGATGTGTGAGGGCGCGATTGAATCCCAGCTGATGACCGCGAGAAGCGATCGATATCATAGCGCCATATTTGTCCTACCTCTCAGACAACAGTTAGTTCACGGATGGGTGCGAGCGCGCGAGCGGGCAGGCAGCGTGCATGGCGGCAATTATATGTGTGTATGTGTGTGTGTGTGTGCGTGTGCGTGTGCGTGTGCGCGTGCGCGTGCGCGTGCGCGTGTGCGTGTGCGTGTGCGTGTGCGTGCGCGTGCGTGTGTGTGTGTGTGTGCGTGTGCGTGTGTGTGTGTGTGTGTTTGTGTTGTTAACGTAATTCAGTTCGAATTTTGCACACGTCTGTATTTCTTGTATTTTGTAAAGCTAATGCAACCGGAATTTCAATTCGTATTTTGCAACGTCTAGCCACATACTCGTCAACGTGTCTACACTATTTCTGAAAGAGCGCGATTCAATGATTTCCATCAAAGAGGATGGATTCTGTAACTTGCTTTTCTGCTTTAATGATAGAAATATCGCACGTTTATATGTAACAAGAGGCAAATAACGCTTTTTTTCTTCTTGCCGCTAAATTATATATGGCGTCAGGTTTTTTTTATCTCTCTCTCTCTCCCCGCACACAACGCCAAGCACCGCAGCGCAGCACACACGCACGCCCGCCACGTCAACGCACTTCACGCACGCCACACACACGCACGCACGCCCCAGGCACACACACGCAAGCACGCACGCACACAAACGCACGCACGCACGCACGCACACACACACACACGCACGCACTCACGCATGCACACACACGCAAGCACGCACGCA